CGATTTTTCAAGTACTGCCATTTCGGACCAGAGCATATTTTCGCAAACTGAGTTTATGTAATATTTTCTGGGCATGGGTCCTATGGTCTATAGCGTTGATCTTCTTGGAAGTATTCCAAGAGATGTATACAGAAGTTTATTCACTTTGCCTAGAAAGAAATTCGTGAACTAGCAAAATTCAATTCAGAAAGCATACGACCCATCGGTGGGTTTGTCCGAAATGGCAGAAAACGTACGACCCACCGGTGGGTCGTATTGTCGTGAGCTGTTAAGATGATAATCCCGCCCAATTTTCTTGATGCTTTTCTTAGCTTCAGTGTTTCAACTGCTGATCGAGGTTCCATGATAAGCCAAAACTGCATAAAAATCACTCTATCACATTATTGTTTACTCTGCTGAAGTTAGTGCATCTTCATGGACTCTGACCTGGTTTTTTCCAGAACTAACCACTAACGTATTATTGATGCAAACCACTGTCATCTGTCAATCTGGACCTTTTGACTCCCAAGTATCTTGAGTGAAGAGAGGAAACTTGAATCCCCCGATGGATGGTACCGTTATGAACATTGTACCACAAAAGCAGAGTGTGTCGAGATTTGGTAGGCTTACTATGACTTTATCAACCAAAATCTTAACAGCTCAATTTACAGTATCTCAACAAAGTAACAAAAATGTTTCAACTGCATGTATCATTCTGTTCTCCAGCAGACATTCACTTGGTCAGTGCGGTACCGCTGCGTTATTGTAGATTTCTCAAGCTGGAGAAAAAAGGTTCAGCGAAAACTAAAAAGCCTGATTATTCGTCAGTCCCACCTACCTCACAACTCAGTCCTGCTTTATGCATCAGATATCCTGCTTGCGCTATCATTGCACCATTATCTATACAAAAACGTTCATCGGTAGAAAAAAGGTATGCTCCACGCTCGGCACACATGCATTCGGCCATTTCCTGTGACAGCAGAATAAAGGTAATTTTTTGAGACAGTTCAATTCCAACCTGAAGCCTCTTATTGCATCCAACACCACCAACAATAAGCAGCTCTGTACTTCCTGTATGCGCCATAGCTCTCTCAGTAATTTCCACTAGCATTGCAAAGACGGTTTCCTACAAGCATCATTTTCAAAATCGTCTAATAAAAGAAATTCAAGGATTACCTGCAAAGAAAAGCATAGGTCTTCCACGGTATATTCTCCAGCGGCTAGCAATTTTGGAGCTTTACTTTCGATCAAAGATAATATTCCAGAAAATGCGACATCCATGCCCTTGACATTGTAAGGCAGTTCTAGCAACCGGCTTCCTTCAAAAAGCTGGTGATAGCGAACTAGTAAGGCAAAGTGCGATTTAGTGAGTTGATTTGTTCAAAAAAGAAGGTGAGGGTGCAGAGGGGGGGGGGAGTAGTGGGAGATGGAGCTTACCAAA